TGTCTTGTGTAGTGCACCAAAGAGAACTGTGAAAGGATTTCAATCTAAAATGGAACAGGAGGATTTGAAATGGAGAATCTCATGCATGTGTGAACTTCAGAACCAAGAGACTGATTTCCTGTAAATGCCTGATTTACAGAAGACCAAAACCAATGAATATCTGCCAGAATGCCCTCCCCATCCTCCAGCCAGTGAACTTGTTGCGTAGGCTTTAGCTGAAGTTCCCCCTTTTTGCACTCCTTGCCAATAAATACAGCTCCCTTCACCCCTCAATAGGCTCTCCTGTACCTTGCTACAGCATGCAATTAATTCTTCTGCTATCCTATATAATAAGGAGCTAATATGCAAATGTTCGTCGTGCCTTTGCACCGGGGCTGGAGGACCTGAGGCCCTGCCCCCGACCTGGCGCCAGGCTGGGGGACCTGAGGCTGCGGCCCCCCGCCCTGGTGCTGGGCCAGGGGACCTGAGAGTGAGCTGGGGGGCCTGAGGCTGCATCCCCTGCGTATGGGTCCCGTGCAATTTCGAGGCGCACACGGTTGGGCGGGGACTTGACTCTGGGTCCTGCGGCACGCCGCAAACTCTGACAGGAGGGAGGTTGTCATCTATATTTTACTATTTTTCTTTCATCTCTGACATTTGTATTATAGAGAAAGGGCAAATAGCAATATTAAAATATTTCCTCTAATTAGTTCCCTTTTAATGTGCATGAATTTCGTGCACCAGGCCACTAGTTTCCAAATAAACTCAGTTTATGGTAATTTGAGCTTTCCTTAGTTTACCTGTTTTTTAAGTTAACAGAACTCCAGTAGTCAACTGTTCTAACCTCTTATAGTAAGAGACCCGAGTGATATTAATTGTGACCCAAGAAATTAAGATTTCCCAGAGATCAGTGAAACCAGTTAGTGACAGACCCTTGACTAGAAACAGTTCCTCTTTTTCATAATCTTTGGATTCACTTAAGCTATATATTAATGCTACAAACAACTGATTGCCAGTATTGTATTTTTGTCCAGTCATTGTTTAACATTGATTTATCCAGATATTTATTGTTTGCCATTTCTTTTTTTGTAAGAGAATTTACCTTTCACCTGAGGGATATCCTTTTGGGTTTCCTTCAGTGCAAGTTTGCTAGTGCCATTAGCTTCTGTTTTATTTGCTTGAAATGCCTTTATTCTATTCTTAACTGATTTTTTTCTGGGTATAGAATTCTAAGTTAATGATTTTTTCTACCCAGAACTGTTGTCTTCTAACTCTATTTTAGTTTCTATTGGAAAGATAGCTGTCTGTTTAATTTGTTCTTTTGAGTATTTTGAATGGAATCACTCTGTTCTCCCTACTCATGTCAGCTTTCAATGTATATATTTTTTGTCTTTAGTTTTCCATACTTCTATTATATATCTATCTAAATATAGATTTCTGTTTTTTTCCCCTGGATTTCTCGTATTTGTGGCTTGATATCTTTAATCAGTTTTAGAATGATTTAGCCATAATTTCTTCAAATATAACTTGTTTTTCTTAATTTTTTTCCCTCCCAAATTTACTTAAGTTAGACCTTCTTAAATATCCTTTATCTTTTTCCCTCCCATGGTTTCTGTCATTTTGTGTCTGTTACTCCTTTATCTGGATCTTTTCTTGTTACTTATTTTCAACTGTTCCTTATTTGCTTTCATTTATTAATTTGCCCATCTACTTCTGGTATGTTTCAATTCTAGAGTTAGCATTTAATTACTACTTTGTATACTTCCCAGTTTTTTACCCATATTCTGATACTTGTCTTTGTTAAATTCAGTATCTGAAGTGTCTGTGGATCTGTTTATTTTGTTGTTTCTGTTGGTTCTCACTCATGTGATCTTGTGTGCCTTGTTACTTCTGTTTGTGTGCCAGACATTCTATTTGCAAGATTGTGTAAGTATGTGGAGTTTAGGATGTTCTCCACTGAGGATTTACATTTGCTTCACCAGATACTCCGGCACTAACAATCCAAAATCACCTTAATTTGCTTTCAGAGACAAATAATCTGTGGCAGGATACATGTTCTGCGAAGTATGGTCTGCCTACTTTCAGCTTACTCTTATTCTTAGGGTCTTCATCCCAAGTGTGCAGATTTATATCCTTGGAAGACCTTTGAACTGCAACTTCTGTTCGCTTAATACTGTGATTTTTGTTTTCAAAAACATTGTCCATCTTCTCAGCCACTCTTCTAGAGTTGCCAAATGCCCTCAGCGAGAAAAGCTGTCCCAGTGTGTGTGGGGAAAGGTAACATGAGATGGCAGGTGTCCTCTCGGTCATCTTCTAAATCTTGGCCTAGTAATTCATTATTTGCTGGACCTTGTATGCCTTGAGGCAATTTTTTAAATTTTTTTAGGAAGTTTAGTCCATATTGTTTAGTTTACTATTTTTTATGGAATTTTCTCAAGTTGAATTTGAATGTATAAAATAAAATATGTTTCTTGTTTCCTTTTCACTTTTGGGGGGTCTTTCTTATTCTTTGAATCCTGGACCACTAGGAGTTTGCTGTACATGGGTCAAATTAGTGGAAATGATGAAATTACAATTGTAATTCCTTTATTCTCATTTCTTTTACTTTTCGAAGCTTTAAACATTTGTCTGGGATAGTTATATTACTCTGGAATGGCTAAAGAACCTTTAAAATGTGTTTGTTGTTTTTGTTTTTTTATTACAGCTTTGTTTCATACTTGTCTATCCTCATTAACCCATCAGTAAGGATTTTCATATTGGCCTTTCTTAGTGGATACACAATACCTCTTAAATAAGAGGCTCATAAATGATTGGGCAAATGAATTAAACTAAAACTATATTGTATTTTTAAAATTTGCCTCATTTATCAGATTGTTGCATTTACTTTTTGTAGGTATGCATTCTTAATCTAATAGCCAGAACTCCCAAACTCTCTTTACTTGTCAGAGCAGATATATGGATTCAGGTTATATGAAGTCAAGGACTGTGTGTTAACAAATTTCCCAAGACTCCTTTAAGATAAGGGGAAAAATCTTGAGGGACTGGACAAAGTAAGCCTCGTGAAAACAAGTATTCAGCAAAGCAAATATGACAGTTCTGAGACTCACGATGAACCTTGGGTAGCCATGCCCCTGCCTTTATCAAACTTGAAAAAACAAAACTCTTCTCCCTCAGCACCAGCAGCCCCTGATCAGGGTTAATCACTTTGCACTTTGTTGCTCTGTTGGACTTAACTCTTTGAGCATATCTCCACACATCTTTTAGGCACCCTTCAAAGGTAGACAGTAAAAATTTATAATTAACATAAATGTCAGAAAGGAGAAACTACATCCCACAATATACCAAGAATAGAAATATTTGAAAGAAAATATATGCTGTCATGTTCTAAGATGTTGCTCAGTAACAAAACCTTAAAAACCATATCAAAACTGATTTGACTTGGATAATCTATAAGGCTTCTCCAGTAACATAGGGGAACCATTTGATATTAACCTACATATAGTTACTAGAGGAAAAAAAATGCCTAAATGGAAATCATGTTAATTTTATGAAGGATAATGCAGTCATGTCTCAATATATAGCCATTTAGGGTTAACCTTATGTTTTGATGTAGAAGTCATTTTATTTTTTTAAAATATTTTAAAAATGTTTTTTATTGAATTTTAGAGGGTGAGGAAGGAAGAGGGAGAGAGAGAGAGATAGAAACATCGATAAGAGAGAAACATCGATAAGGGAGAAACATCAATTGACTGCCTCCTACATGCCCTCTTCTGGGGATCCAGCCTGCAACCCAGGCATGTGCCCTGACTGGGAATTGAATCAGTGACCTCTTGGTGCATGGGTTAATGCTCAACCACTGAGCCACAACAGCCAGGCTTAGGAGTCATTTTATACCTTGCTAGCCACTAAGCTATCCTTTGGTCATTTTGGTAATTTTATAGTACAGATGGTCAAGTGTTTGTTTAAGGAAAATGCCAGATGTTCTAGTTTATCAGTGTAATCTTTCTGCGTCAAATCCCTAGATCAGCACTTTTCAACCTTTTCATCTCATGGCACACACAAACTAATTACCAAAATTCTATGGCATACCAAACAATACATATTTTGCCAGTGTAACTATAAAAATAGGTATAACTTTGATTCATTCACACCAGACAGCTATTGTGTTGGCCGTTGTCGTTTTTTAATCTAAGGGAAAAGAGGTGAGTGCCCCTGACTAAATAGTCAGGTATTGCATGTTTTAAAAATTCTTGTGGCCTGACTGAAGTGGCTCAGTTGGTTGGCCTCATCTTGAGAGAAGTAATAACTGAAGCGTTGTCCTGTGCACTGAAAGGTTGCCAGTTTGTTCCTGGTCAGGGCTTGTGTGGAAGGCAACCCATTGAGGTTTCTTTCTCTTATCAGTGCTTCTCTTTCTCTGTCTCTGTCTCTGTCTGTCTCTATCCCCCTCCCTCCCTTTCTTCCTTCCTCTCTAAGCATGTCCTCCGGTGATGATTAAAAAAATTTCTTTTGTGTGTGGCACACTTGAAGATCACTGCTTTAGTAGATGTGTTATTTTACTTGATTTTTTAAAAGGGCTTTTTGCGTGATAGATGAATTACACTGTGAGTGCACTCTTAAGTGCCCAGTATACAATAGCAAAGACAGAGTTTAAGAGCCATACTATAGGTCATTTCATAAAGGAATGTGTTTTCTTAGGTTCTGTTAACACTGATTAATCCTTAACAAGTAATCACGACCATGTTAGTCAGATTTGTTGATGTTTTACATAAGTAGATGTTGGGATTGTTGCTCAGGAATATCTAAAAGGTTTTCCTGTTTAAATTTAAAGTACTTGTAATTAAAACCTGATACTCACCTGTAGGAGGGTGTTTTTAGGAACAAATGTCACTTGTGAAAATTTGGGAAAAGTTTCTTCACTTGGTATTATACTTTCAACTTTTATGAATTAAACATTTGTATTTTAATTTTTTATTTTTCTTGATACTGAAGTAAAATATCAATTAGTATATTATGTTATAAGATTGATTTTATTTTTTCTCCCTAATACAGAAACTCCACCATGAGACGAGGTGGATGGAGGAGGCGAGCTGAAAATGATGGCTGGGGAAAATGGGTGTGTTTTAAAAGAATAAAAATTATATTGAATTGTCTAGGTATTTTTCATTCTTTTTATAGCTTATAATGTGATTTAAGCCATTTTCTAAATTATAAATCACTTTAGATATCAACTCTGAGTTTTCACAATGTGTAGAAAGCTCAACTTGAACCCCTAAACTTGCAGGAATTTTATCCTGAGAAAATAAATATTATAGTGCACACAATTTATTGTGGGATAATTTTATTGCATCATTGCTAATAATACTGCGAAACAGGAAAACTTAGCTATCCAAGAATAGGGAATTGGTTAAATAAATTATTTTTATACAGTGGAACACTGCAGCCATTATTTAGCTTTACATTTCTTAAACTGGCAGATGGTCTTGACTTAAAAGGGTGTTGTGTTATAAAGGAATATTGATATATATGATTCTGTTTTTGTAAAGCTGCTATGCTCTGAGGCATAGATATAAACTTTGAAAATAATATCCTAAAATGTTAACAATGAATGGGATCATAGCTAATTTAAAGTTTCTTCTTTATATTTAAAAAATTGGCAGTGAGCATTCAATATTTGAATAACCAAAAACAATGAAGTCATTTCCATTTTGAAAAAAATGTGTACCACTTCTGCATACCTACTGCTTTCTTTTAAAGACCTAATTGATACTCTTAATTGATCTAGATAAATCAGTAAAAACTTAATTGATAATTTAAATCAATTAAGCTTAATTATTTAAATATTTGGGGGAAATGTAGCTAAATTCAGGCATGCTTTTTAGATTTGTAAATGTCTGTAGGAAAAATGATAATGTTTTTATATTCTTTTTTTAGGTTCCTGTTATCTAATGAAAATTTGTCATAGATTGATTAAATCCAGAATTTAGCCACCGAATTCTTTGTTGTATTCTTATCTACATGTATAGAGGACTATACTGTTTTTTCAAGCTGCTTCATTTTACATGAAGTTTTTTTAAGCTTTCTATATACAGAAGATAGTGCAAGCCCATTTAAAATATACACTTATTGACCACATGTTAGATTTTAATTGATTTAAACTTTGATGTAACTTTTGCTTGATTTTATAGATAAGAACAATATTTTGTGGCATTAAATTTATTATTTCTGACATTTTATATATTCTTTTGTTTGATATTTTGAAATAACTTATTATAAAAATGTTAAAGAATTATTAAAAATTGAGTCAAAAGAGGGAAAAGTCTCTTTTGACCTGCCTGTTTTTTTGCCTTGCCTCTGGTTCATGTTTAGCATTACACCTTTGTCATCATTATACTTTGGTCATTGGCACAGAATAAAGTCTTTTTAAATAGAAGTTTCTTTAAGAAAAGGGGTAAGGGGGTAAAAGTATAACTTTTGTGATTAGTGTTTACCTTTTCTTTAATTCTAGGGTGGATATATGGCTGCCAAGGTCCAGAAATTGGAGGAACAGTTTCGATCAGATGCTGAAATGCAGAAGGATGGAACTTCATCTACAATTTTTAGTGGAGTTGCCATCTATGTTAATGGATATACAGGTTGAGTACTTTTTACTTTTTAGGTACTCTTTTGGCATGCATTATTATTAGGATTGAGAATGACTTTTTAAAAATTATCTATAATAATAAAAGGGTAATATGCTAATTAGACCAGAGGAAGCCGGTGCCTGCAGCCAGGGGAAAGAAAGCCTACTCTTGCACGAATTTTCGTGCATGGGCCTCTAGTCTTGTATATAAAAATGATAAAAATAAAATCCTTTGGTTAGGTACTCCATCACTTTTACTGTTATTCCACCTATACCTGCCATTGTCTCTTTTTAAAAAATTAATATGTTTTTATTTCAGAGAGAGAGAGAGAGAGAGATAGAAATATCAATGATGAGGGAGAATCATCAATCAGCTGCCTCTTGCACAGTCCCCACTGGGATCAAGCCTACAACCTGGACATGTGCCCTGACTGGGAATGGAACCATGACCTCCTGGTTCATGGGTCAGTGCTCAACCACTGAACAGTACTGGCTGGGGCTGCCATTGTCTTTTATTTTAATTTTTATTAAAGTACTTAAGGTTTTGTGTGTGTATGTATGTTTTAATATATCTTTATTGATTTCAGAGAGGAAGGGAGAGGAAGAGAGAGATAGAAACATCAATGGTGAGAGGGAATCATTGATTGGTTGCCTCCTGCATGTGCCCTTGGCAGGAATCAAACCCCAGGCTGACGCTCTATCCACTGAGCCCAACCAGCTAGGGCTAAAGTACTTAGTTTTTAAAAAGTCAAATGAGCCCGGCTGGTGTGGCCTCAGTTAGGTTGAGTTTCGTCCAATGCACCAAGTGTTCTCTGGTTGGATTACTGGTCAAGGCACATGCCTGCGCTCCATCCCTAGTGAGGAGCGTACAGGAGGCAGCCAATCATCGATGTTTCTATCTCTCCCTTCCTCTCTCTCTAAAGCAGTGGTTCTCAATCTTCTGGCCCTTTAAAACAGTTCCTCATGCTGTGACCCAACCATAAAATTATTTTCGTTGCTACTTCATAACTGTAATGTTGCTACTGTTATGAATCGTAATGTAAATATCTGATATGCAGGATGGTCTTAGGCAACCCCTGTGAAAGGGTCATTCGACCACCAAAGGGGTCGAAACCCACAGGTTGAGAACCGCTGCTCTAAAGTCAATAAAAACATATTTTTTAAAAAGTCGTATGAGGTTTAAAATTAAAAACAGTAGTGGTCTTGAGTAAACAGCTAATTGGAAGCTCATCACATGCGTGTGGTACTTGTAAACTGTGGACTTCAATATAGGAGGATCTTGTAAGGTCACTTCACTGGTAATTCTCCCACTGTAATTACCTATAGATTTGGGGGCTGGTGGAGGAGGAGGGTGGTATATATGTAAAATTTCCCAGACTCTTGCTTAGAGAAGTGTATAAATCCAACTGTCAGCATTTTGGTAGCCAAGGGGGAAGCAATGTGCCATAACTCTGAGAAAGTAGAGTTTTATTTAATCTTCCTATTATTTTTTCCATTTCCTACATCACTTCTCCCCCCCTGCTATGTCTATTGTCATTGAGTCTGGTACCTAGAAGGGACTGGATAGTCTTCCTTGTGAGTCTAGGGGGACGTGGGAGGAGATGTGGAATTCTAATCACTCTGTTACACAGAATTTCTACTGTGAACTCCTTGTTTTACCACCTGCCCACAGGTCTACTTTGAGAGGTGCCTTGTACCCCCATTTCATGCATTTCTCTTGGTTTCACTGGCACTAAGCAACCTCTTCTGGATTTCCACACAGCCAACTTAGATGTTAGCTTTCTCTCATCAGCAAGGACAGTAACACTTGTCTACTGGCTGTCAGATGTTCCTGCTAAAGTTTCTCTTCATTCTTTTTAGGATTTCTTTCCTGTTAATTTAAGTGTATTTTGACATGAATGGCTGCAAGTATTTGTGTCAACCTCTTATACTTTTTCCTCTCCACTTCTCAACTGGCTGGTACCTGCTTATCTTTAAGACTCTTTATATATAACTTCCCTTTGGTTGTCTGATTGTCTTCTTACTGGCATGGCTTACTTCTCATGCTCCTATGTGGCACCTTGTATTTGTCTGCACCTTAGCATTTTTAAGATCTTACTATAGACAAGAACAGGAGATACATTTTCATTACTTCTGTATTTTTGGTACCTCTACAGTGACTGGGTGTAACCTCTCAGGAAATATTTGTTGAATTTTACAGTTATGTTTTAATTAACTGATACATTTGTCTGATTGAATTTTATCAGGCTTCCTTGGCAATAAATTCTTAAAATGATTTGCTGGTGCAGCTTTGGAAAAATTCACATGCAACTTTTCTACTTGGGTATTCTGGAACATTGAAGCTCCACAGGCCTTCCTGAGATCTATTATAAAAGATTCAAAATGTTAACAAAAAGAAATAAACAATGCTTGTTACATTAGCCAGTTATGGGAGTCCTCAATTTGCAATGGCATCTTATTCATGTTAGAGGAAGAAAAAGAGATTGAGAGGGAAAAATAAGTATTGTAGTAATCACTACCATGTTGAAAGTCTGGAATTCTAACCACTTTTGTCACTGATTTTTGTGTGACCATAAGACATTTTCTCTTCGAACCTATTTATTTTGGACCCATTATTATCACTATCCCTTTTTCTTTAGGGTAGAGATAATATTAATTTTTACTCTTGTTATTGTTACACTAGAGGCCCGGTGCACAAAAATTTGTGCACTTGGGCTGGAGATGGGGGGCGGGGGCGGTTCCATCAGCCCGGCCTGTGCCCTCTCGCAGTCTGGGACCCCTCGGGAGATAACGACATGCTGGCTTAGGCCTGCTCCCAGGTGGCAGAGGGCAGGCCCAATCCTTAGGTGCAGCCCCTGGTCGGGCTCAGAGCAGGGCCGATTGGGGAGGTGGGGTGGCA